TCATGACATAGCGCGACCACGAGTATTTGTCCTTACACCCGACCCGCTGCAGCCTACTGGTCACGAAGTCTTACTAGAACCCCATGAAACTACCTACCTGAATAGGGTCCGTCGCTAGTATGCACGTCATTGATTTTCAAGTATTGGTTTGTAGAGGTTTGATTGATTGCTTAGAGGATTTCATCATCAGTTAGAGAACCATTGGAAAACCTGGAAGTAGTGGACAGCCGTTTCATCTTTGTTTTGGATCCTTGATCATGAAGAGAGTAATTTCGAAGGATGAGAATTTAACCGAAAAGAAAATAGATATGATCAAGATGAAGACAGGGATTCTACGAAACACCTTGAAATACAAATTTTAAGTTTTTTTCGTGTATAGATAGTGAAGAATATATAGACTTTTATGACATTTGAATTTAGGTATGCCGATAAATTTAGGTGATAAATTACAAATAAGATGAATGATGTAACTCCCAAAAGATGCTCGGAATTAAATGTTTTCATCTTGTGAAAATATCGATTGTTTGGTGGTAAATTTTTTATAACTACTCTTACAACAACCAGTATAATTAACCTTATGGGAATAGATATTAGAGGGTGGAAACATATAGTGGTACGCTTGACAAGTAGTTTTTCCCTTCAAAGATTGTGAATAATATTCTGGCCCAAGCATGCCAGATGTATAATAATCATGCAGAAAGAGTGATTTCCACTTTTTGTTACGTGACTATTAAAATACTTCAGGAAGGACATCTTCTTGGGGTCCGAGATACTTATCCAGTGTCTTCTTTTGCATTATAAGTTGAAGGGTATTTTTCTTAGAGGTTTTTTAAATAAGCACTTCAAAAACCTTTTAGACAGTTCTCAGCAGAGACTGTGAGGTGAATCTTCAAACTCCAAGCACATAAGTAATGAACGAGATTCCCCCTTGTGTTTTGAAGTCTTCAGTTCTTGCGTTGTCGACCTCCGTAATTAACCACAACTCCCCTTTGATAACCAGTGGAATTTAACTTCTGCTTTGAAAGATGATTCTTGAATGGTTTAACGAGACTGACAGTTGAGCAGCTTTCATCACATTTATGTCTATTTTTGAATGTATTTATGTTAAATTCTACATACCATCTGTATGATTTTGCCAGTGCATTGCACTAGACCTAGTCAAGTCACCTAGTCACTGTGATTAGGAAAATGTCTTTCAAATATGACTGTAATCTATAACTGCTTAGAATACTTCATTAAACATAAATACCAGGACTAGTTTCTATTTTCGAGTTATTTCCTTTCAATATTAATAATGTCGTAGAACTTGACTATTAAAAAAATCTACACTAATTAATCACAAGCTTTAAGCAGCAGAAAATATCATACACTGTCCAGAAATAGACTGACAAATATGACAATCCCACCAGTTAGTATTGTCTTTAAACTATTCATATGCAGCAAACACTAACTAGCTTAAGACGAATGATTTATTTGATACAAGGTTTCCTGTCTGGGTATACTGATATGCCAAGTGTTCAGATCTCATATAGATAAGTGTCAAACTGCTGGTCCATACCAGTTACACTTTTTACAATGAACGCTTTTCTCAACATACTTTACATCTAACCAACACCTCAGTACTTTTTTTAGTGTTTCAATAAATTATTTTTTAACTAAAATTTATTCTGGCGTTCTCATGCTTTAGATATCGGATCCTAATCTCAACAAAAAGGACATCAAGGACTTTGAACTTACTGTGCATATTTCATCTGACACCGATCAATCCAGTCCTCTTGTAGTGATAAATAAGATTCACTAGTACCTGCCATTTGTAACCTTATCTGATGAATAAAATGAAATTTTGAAACAGCAAAATAACTTCCTTCAACTAATGGAGTACTACGGCGTATCCCAAATATTCATCAACCTTATTCAACAGATGTACGACAACGGTACATGCTAAGTGATCAACAACGGAAAACTCAGCGAGGCGTTTCGAGTAAGCACAGGAGTCAGACAAGGGTGCTCACTATCACAAATGATATTTCTAATTGTGGTGGACTGACTGGATTATGCGTCAGACAGTGGGAAACGAGAAATGGGACAGGGATATCCTAGACCGACGTGAAGAACCTAGAAGACCTGGATTTCGCGAGTGGATGATTTATGTTTGATGTCACACAAAATCGAAGACTTACAAGCGAAAACCCACAAACTAGTCGAAGAAGCAGCCGGCGAAGACAGGACTCCAGGTGAATATAGACAAGATGGAGGTTACGAAAATAACCAACCAACAATAGCAACATCCGGTGCCAATCACCATCAATGGGAGGGATTTGAAAGAGATTACTACATTCACTTCACCTATCTAGGGAGCATTGTCTCAACTACAGGCAGTCGGAACGAACGAGGATGTCAAATCGAGCGAGATTCGGAAAGGCCAGCGAGAATCACATTCACCGACCTGAAACCAATCTGAAATCTTCGTCACTCAGCCAGCATCAACAACAAAATCCGGTCGGATTTTCAATACGAACAACGTTAAGTCAGTCAGTTCTTCTATACGGATCAGAAACTTGGCGGGCGGGTGGGTCACAAAGAATATTTCCAACAGCCTGTTGCAGACAGCCTTTATCAACAACTGTCTTCGCTGGCTCTATACTGAAGATCAGATGGCCGGCTGAGCCGGAAAGAATCACCAACAACAAGAAACTATGGCTGGGAACAAACAAGCAAAACAAGAACCAATCGCCAACCAACAAATATGCAGGAGAGAGTGGAGATGGATTGGACACTCGAGGCTGAGGAGGAGGCCGCTGGGTGACATCGCGCGCGCGTCAGGCCATTGCTGGAGTGGAACCAGGCCGAAAGGGAAGCGGCGAGTGGTGAGGGACGTTCAAGGGTGACATGGAGGAGATTTTGTGAAGATTAGTTGAAACAGTATGGACTAACATGGATGCAGGTGAAAAGTACAGCAGAAGACATAAGGAAGTGGAGACGTGCAGTTGAAGCCCTATGTTCCACTAGGAACCCAAGGGAACAATAATAATAATAACCAGTTTCGTTCTACATTTTTATCAGAACTCCCAATTAAAATAGGCTTCGAAAATTTTCACACCCAGTAAAAGAGCAGGAATACTGTTTTTCAGACTCTCCTGTAGGCATTGAAACGCATATTTCAAACGTAATCGACGCTATTGAAATTAGGGAGAATAAGCCTAGTCCTTCTTCACAAAAGAATTTTATTCTGCCATTGTGTCTCTCTAGACCATGGTGAATCTAACAGACTAATTAAAACTTCGTACCCCTTGTCACTCTTCCCTTCCCTTGTACTTTTATGGTATTCACTTAAACTTCTATTATCTATCCACTGCATCCCATTACGTTGCTAGTGGAACATAAGACTTCAAACTGGAGCTTTGAAGTTTCGGTAGCAGTGATGTTTATTTTTATGGGATAGGGTTGCCCAACCTTCCCTCGTTATCAGACTTATTACTGACTTAGCGAAGTAAAGGAGTGTGTCAGCCGAGGACTGAACGCTGGATGAAATGCGTGGTTGGCGAACATCCTATCCCTGTGCCACTGACGCACTGCATCTTTAGTGGTACGCGATTTCTGATTTTATGTAATTGTGACCTGATAAACTTAGTGAATTGTTTACATCACCGCGGTATCTTCAATAATATTGTTATCACCTCAGTCTGAACTTTTGTTAATATTGACTTTATTATCATTATTACAATCGTCATGATTACTGACATATTTACAACATTTAACATTTATTTATATCCATAAATTCACCATCTCTGATGTACATTAGAGAAAGGCCGGAGGATTTGAATAAAGACAGTATTTTTTGCTTATATCTCTTGTTTTAATGTAGAAAGTAACGAGAATCACTAGTTAATACTGATTGTGTTTAGCATCAGAAATAAAATATAACGGGGAATATAGCATCCTTCAGAAGTTTTCCCACAGACTATCTAAAGTAAAAAGTCACATTTATATGTCTCTAAGACCGAATTATGGAATTCAAAAGATTCAAGGAGTCGTTTATGAATGACAAAGACGAAAACCATATCACAGAGTGTGATATTTTCCTGACTGACATTCCATAGTGTACTTAGAGGAAGATGAAACTTAAGTAAACTGATAATGACTGACAACTATCTATACAATGAGTTTCTTCGACAATTCTTGATCTTCATTCAACAGTGTCAAAGTTGATTACTTTCAGCTCAGAACAAATTCATAACATCTTTCGAATTTGGTTGACACCAAATTAGGTAAACCAGTTGTTCCATCTGACAGCGTCAGGTTATATACTGAATGATTAAATTCGTGTGAATTGTATTTCGAATAATGGTCTAATTCCTCATTTAGGCAAATAAACTAAGAGCACGATAGCTAAGATGTATACATTAATGGTCACTGGCTGCTTACTAAAAAAAACTGTGAAATCTGAGTTGGATAATGTTACTACAAATACAACTCAGATATTCAAATGTTGGTTTATAGGGATTTGGCTGACCAGTAGGGTACAGCAGGTTGGGTGTGAGGACAAATACTCTCAGAAAACATTGGCTAGTGGTCATGTAAATTATCAGAATTTGTAATTTATGGAGTGACCATTGGATCTGCTCCCAGTGGCCTAATGGTCTACTACCTCGCCTTATAACTAGAAGGTCCTGGGTTCAAACCCTGGCGGTGAGTGCATACTTTTAAAGAGCCCAAAACCAGGACGAAACAGTCCAGTATTTCCTGAAGGTTTTTAATGGTTCTGTAAACGATGTGAGCTCATGATTAAATCCTGTAACTGTCAGATATATTTTTTTAACTATAATAAAAATATAAATCTCATATTGTAAACTTTCTTCAGTTTTCACAATCAGCTTTTACTCCCTGAGAAATCAGAAAACACGTGAACATAGAAGTCAGAAACTTCTACGACCCTAATACTATACTCTTGCCATGTAACATCGCATGACTTGTAACCTTGTTTGTATTTTTAATTTCAGGATAATTTGCATTCATGTGAACCCAGACAGTTATTCTTAGAAGGTGGAAATACCCCCAAAAATAAATTAAATAACACAATGAACAATAGTGATATGGACACCAATTATCACTTATTTTATGGTTTCAACGATCCTGAAGGACAAAGTATAGCACTGAATGCAATAAGCGTAGTGAAACCAATACTGAATCGTAAAGAATTATTTTTATTTGACAAAACAGCACGTACAACAGGTTATGGTGGAATGGTATCAGCCCGACAGCTGCATTTTATGTGTGGACCATATCCTGAATTAAATATTGACAGAAATTTAATGTTTGATAAAGTTATCCAAACAGGTATTCTACCCATTCTTCTAATCATGTTGATTGTGTTCAGTGGTACAACTTTCTGTATCTTGACACGACCAACTATGCAAACACCTGTATATGCAGTTCTTTTGGGCATAACAATTGCTGAAATGTCAAATGGCTTGTTGCCTCTACCAATGTATCTATTGAGAGCATTTTATGATGATTCCATCTGGTGGGAGAGAAGTAAATTCTCAAGGTATAATTTAACACAAATATCTAAATGGTGGAAGTTTGCACCACCGCAAATGTACCAAACAAGTTCGAATCCAACAGCCAGTGGAATACTTGCATGGACTACAGTATTTCTTCCAACCGTTTGTCATACAACAGCTACATGGTTGACACTGTTCGTTGCATTTCAGCGTTTAATTTATATTACATTTCCAAACAGAGCATCAAAACTATTTTCTATGACGATTGTACGATCAGTGTGCTTCATGGTTTTTCTATGCGCTCTTGCCTTACATATTCCAATGTTTCAGTCGACTTTTATTAAATTTCAACCGCTTCTTCTGCATCAAAATCTTACCCTGAGGAATTATTCGGTTAATTTTAAACAGATTCTATTGTATGAAGCACTGGATCATGTGCCACATGTAGTAATGAAATGTCATACATGTTTACCGATTCAAATGTTTCTGTATTTTTTGTCACGTGTCATACTGGTGCATTTATTGCCTTGTATATTATTAATAATATTAACAATAATGATTATAATTAAAATGCGTCGTATTCATGAAAAACATTTACTGCTCACTAAAGGCAAAACATTTACACAGGCATCAAAAGTACCAACATCATATCGGCGAATTAAGACATACTCTTTACCAAACTGTCTAAAGCTAGACATATCACCTGAAGATGATAAAATTCCTAAAGACAACTTTCTTCACATCAATAATCACGATCAAAACTATGATTACAAGGATGATGTAGAAAGTAGGCTTAATTGTTTCTGTTGTATTACACCTGAAAAGTCAAAGCCTTTCACGTTAACTAATGACGGTAGTCGTAAAATGACTGCTAGCCAGATCAGCCCAAATACCGCCAATAATAGCAATAAAGATATAACCCAAGAAAATGCTTTTACAACAACAATACGACGTAAATCTCAGGTTACTGAATTCTTTTGTGTATCCAATATGCTAATAGTATTATTAATCAAATTTATCCTAATTCATCTACCAAATGCTTTAGTTATTTTTATATACACAGTGAAATTGATGCAGCACAGAATATATGGAAGTCATTTCAGTGCAGGAAGAACTGGTAATACCTCGGAATTTATTCCTATAATAAGAAACTCGAATCACACTATTTTATTACCTTATACAGTTATGGAATTAGTCAGTGAGTTGGATCGTGTTAATTCAGTGGTCAATGTTAACGAAGCTGATGCAAATTTAGTGTGGATAAGAGTTGTAACTATTTGTAATCTTTTAATTCTATGCTCATATCTGTTAAACTTTTTAATATTTTGGACAATGTCAACACAATTTCGTGCACAGTTTCGTAGATTATTTGAATGTAAATTAACAAAACTATTGTGTCATAAAACATAGCACAGTGTCAGTCAGTATATTGGCACTTTGTCAACTTACTTTGTATATATATATATATATATATATATATATATATATATATATATATATATATATATATATATATATATATATGTATTGCGTGTTTATGCTTATTTTGTTCTTGCCAAATATTTTGCTGTAAACTCTATTAATGGATTGAGTAGGCTTTTTACAATACAGTGAAATAAATTTATTGTTTCTTTACTTTTATATATCAAATTCATGAAACGCTAATTTTCTAAGTTAATTACTTGAAACGTTCCAACGTAGTTTTAATGTTACATTTCTTTATATATTTTGAGGTGTAATTAATAATAACAATAGCTTAATTCTAAATGATCCGATTATTTACAGTATAGAATTTTTCACTTGGTTTTCGTCTACTCCTGCTGCGGAGTCTTCAGGTAAAACAGTAACCTAGAGCACAGCATTCAAAGGAATTCTTTTCTGTCTGCGACATGCTCGGACCACGAATGTATTTGTTCTTTCAAAAGAGAATAAGCAATATGTTGAAGTCCACCACAAATGAACGTGAATACAGATTCCCCTTCAAGATCTTAAATATATGTTCAAAATAAAGTATAGCTAAGTATATCTGACACATTGTGGTCTGTAATTTAACGTATCCATCAAAAAGTGCACACTGGTCTTCTCTTGATGTTAGAAGGCTCACCAATGTGAAGTAGACCTGAGGTTCACAACAAAATCTCTGAGGCCAACTCTCATTCAGCACGAAGCCTTGAACCTAGGTTTCGTGCTAGTTGGTACTCAGCAGCAAGGTGTATCTGCGACCTTGAAGGGACTCATGTCAATTCTGAGATTTGAACCTGTGTCACCCAGTGCTGCAATTAGAGACGTTACCACTGACTGATAGAATTGAGCCTGCACCAAAGATAGAACCAGATACACACATCACACTAGTTATTGACTAGTATCCAATCAAAAAAGCTGATTATCTGACACTTAAGAACACTTGCAAATGCATATAACTGATGATAATTTACATGGAATGAAGTCTCAGTGGATATTTACTCGAAGATTCTGTATGAAAATTAAGTGTTTTCCAAGAAATAAAGTCTGAGAATCTTGCACTTTGATTCTCACTAAGAAGTGGCTCTATTCAGGCATCTGACTTCGAGTTTCAGTGGTTAGTCGTGACCAGTAGGGTACAGCAGGTTGAAGATGAGGCAGTAACTCATCGAAAAATACATTTCGAAGTGGTCGCATTATGTCGTGAATTAACATAAGTCAGAATTCATTGGCTAGTCATTGGATCGGGTCCCAGTGGCGCAAACGTTTACCAGCTAGATTGACTTGCAACCTGAAGATCCTGGGTTTCAACCCTTATGGTGGATGCGTACTGATGAAGGGTCTCAAATTAGGACTAAACATCTGTCCAGTACTTCCACGTTTTCCAGTGGTTCTCTAAATGATGTCAGCCCACGATGAGATCCACCAACTAATCAAACAAAATCCCTGTAAAACCGGTACTTGGAAAACCGTACACTATGTTTGGACATAATTTCCAGAATAAACCTGATATTATTATCATAAATATATTAAAAGGCTTTCAGAATTAAGTTTCTGTTACCATGCAGTTTCACTCTTTCACAAAAGTATTCTTACTGTTTCCTATGACGTAATGCCTCTTATTGACAAACATAGTTTTTTTCTGTTTTCACAAGTTCTAGACGGTTTCAATGTTGGGTGTGTGAATGAATATGGTAAAAATTGTTACTTTCAGAATAAGAGAATGTCGTTAAAAGCCTTCCATGACGCATTATGTATAAACTGATGTTTTGGACGAAATAACTGTTAAGATTTAAGTTTATAAGAAAAAACGGGTAATTTCAGTCGACTCAGAGTCTGCAAACACATGATCTTAACTATGGTAGTATATAGATACGATTACTTTCAATGAACATTATATCTAAGCAATAATCTATTGTTCAAATCAGCGGCGAACTATTATTACAGTATATATTCCTTAGGGCGTGTTGACAGACTTTAAGTCACTACCTCAGTAAGCAAAGTTTCAATCACCATTTGAGAGACGGACTGGAGTATTATGTCATATCGGAAGTTTGCTAGTCTTCTCCCACATGTTAAAGTTGATCTGTTGAGAAACATCTCCCCTCACCTTTCTGAAAGAATTGAAACAGAAGACTTGATGAGTTTAAGTCACTGGACATTCTTTGATAATAATCTCCTATCAATACTAATCGTTGTCCTAACCTTCGAAAAGAGGTAATATTCCTAAACAAATCCTCTATTATGTAATTTGACTTATTTTACGTATCTCCAACTTTTATTCTTACTACAAGTCATTTTTTGGAATATTCACTGTCTTTCTTTAGTCAAAATATCTCGAAATATAACTGAAATTCCTTGGAAAAATATTCTGTTCCATATTAAGACAGTTTGTCCAGCCCAAACAAATAACCACATGAAATAAAACACTTCGGTTTAGCCCATGTGTGCCGAGTGAAACACCAAACATAGGGCTTCAAGCTTTGAAGTTTCTGTAGCAGTAGTGTGGTTTATACGTTTTAAAGTTGCTTGTCTCCCACCCGACTTTCCTTCCTTTTTTATAGTCTACTAACAACTAGCCCAAAAATCAAACCCGGATATCTAGCATGGCTGGCAAGCATTCAGATATTAAAACACCGAATTACGGAGAATACATTTATGAGCTAAAAGCACTTTCGTTTCATGTCATAAATATTTTGTCCCACTTTCTAAAACATGTATACACACGGATATATTTGGATACTTCATGTGAGATGTAAGTCAAAATGCAAGTGTGCCATGAAATCGGCGTCTGGGAAGGATATGTGAAAAAGAGCTTCCCTGTAACTGGAATGTAGGAAAAAGTTTTGTTGATTCGGAGTTTAAGGTAAATGCCAAGGTGAATTCACCGGAAAATGAGGATTACAATCCATTTTTTATGAAGCTGATTTTTCGGTGGCTTGTAGCATACATTGGCACTTAGTTGTTATGCTTTTTTCTTTATAAAGATCTTGCAGAATAATTAGGAAGCTATAAGTTTCTTTTCCTTTCACTAATAGTATTTAGTTTCACTTTTCACTTCTGATTACCTACGAAAAGCAATTAATTCTCAGAATATCCGCTGTTTCACTTATCATCAAGTAACTGATGCAGATATTTTAAGTTTTATTGAAAAAAAGTCATCATTCAAGATGAGAAAATAGATTCGCATCACTCTAAACTGCGGCTCTTGTCAGCACTACTAAGTTAGAGAGAATTTTGACAACATAAATGTACCTATAATTCAAACATTTTTAGAGAAAAAAATGAAACTAGGCATAATTCAACCCCGTATTAAATCATTAAAGACTAGGAATAAAATTGTTCTGACACCGCCCATTTACGGATATTCTATGGTGTTTGCATGATGTTGACCTAACAGTAAAGAGAGTTAACAGCAGAAAATAAATAATATTTACCACCCATTATTTGCTTATTATCACCTCGTTACATTTTAATTTTTTTTGTAATAGTTTGTGTTTTCTAACTTTATTCACCTCAGTTCACTGATAACTTATATACATATATATATATATATATATATAAGTTCTAACCCGATATGTCATTCATTAGTGTGATTAGTAAATGAATGACCCGCTGACCCATTAAACGATATTAAGGACTGCTTATCGTACTGTCAGTTTCAACGGCAACTGGTAGGATAAGTTATAATTTTGATAAAAAAAAAGATATAATCTAATGCAGTTAGCGTTATATGTTTACCGACTTTTCGGCAAAATGATTTATAATTGATAAAAGTTTACAATTATTAACAGAATACAACTAAAATTTCACTAACATTTCAATTGATATGTTGCCTACTATGAAATGGTCTACAAATAGGTTTTACAAAATCTCACAATAGTAGAGTTATAATTGTTTACTAATATAAACTTATCTTAGAGATAGATATTTTACCAAAGATTTCTCATAACCTCCAGTTAAGGTGAAATGTTTTAAATCAGAATTCAAATCAAATTATCATTTAGAGATTTCCCAAGAGAATGAATTAATGAACGCCAATTAGTTTAACGAGGAAAAGGTGAAGGGGATAGGTTTTCGCCTTCCTTAGAAAAAGAAACAGGCAATAACAGGGCACGATGAATAGCGAATTAATGAATAAAAAATAAGTATTTAATCATGCTGCATACTCAAAGTCTTAGTTACCTTTGGAGATTCACCTGAGCCTACCCTGAAACTCTCTTCAATATGCTTTAGTTTTATTGTATTTAAGGTTCTAGAAACGGATGGTTGTACATCCTGTCAAATACAAGCAATTGTATAATTCAAACATCTGCTTAACAGAAAACAAAATATAGTTGACATATTCACATTTAAATATAATTAATTTAAAAAAAAGTAAGGACTGAAATTTATGCAGCTAAGAGTTCTTGATGACTGTTTTATTCCCGAATGGCTGTGCACCACGAAGGAATGCTGACGTGAAAGCAAACGTTTACCGCAATAACAGATTTGTTAATCTTACAAATGTATTTCTCAAGTGCCAGTTTGCAAAGATTCATTTGGTTACAGGGAGTACTGGGCAGCTGTTCTGTCCTAGTGTGAAGTTTTTCATCAGTACTCATTCACATCTGTCTAGTACTCTCAGGTTTTCCAATGGTGTTCTCTAACTGATGTCAACTCATAGTAAAGTCCTCCAACCAAACAAACAATACCCCCACAAGACCAATACTTCAATATTTATTAGATGTCTCGAAGATGATTATTCGTAGCTAGGTGATTTCAAAAAAGGAATTGTAACCATAATAAAGAAGTTCCGTTTATCTGAGCTTTACTTAGGATTTAAGAGAGGTTCTCACGGTAAATTTCTATGGAATTTCGCATTTGAAACTTGAAACTTGACTTATTGAGTGGGAATGAGTAAAACGCTTTTTTTGCACAAAACGACTCCAGCTGCATAAGTATCACGT